CCCCCCCCCCCCCCCCCATTCCTCACTTCTCTTGTCTCCACAAGCCTCGGTAGAGTGAGAGCACATGTGGGGGTGGGGAGGAATCACAGCTGAATTAGTTGTGTCTCTCTGATTGGCTGAGAGGCCGGGTATTGTGGGTAAGGGGGGTGGGAGAGAGCGCGGGCGGCATTTGTTTATTACATATTTCCCCCCCTTTCCCTTATGTTATCACGGCAACGGCTCCTCCTGTACAAACATAAAATAGACAGTGGAGGGGGAAGTATCAGGCTCACCGTATACAAGGGGAGGGGTGTGTGTGTGTGAGTTTGTATATATATGTGTGTGTGTCTGCCTGAGAAAGAGAGCCATTTAATTTGTGGAGTGAACAGGGATATGCGTCAGTTCGTCCGTCGTATCCAAGACACTGCCGATGCCGCGTCCACAATCTGCTCAACGTCACTGTTTCATCAGGCGAGAGAAGAGAAGAAGACCAGAACCACCAGAAGAGAGGGACAGGCAGAGAAAGAGAGAAAAGCGAGGCAGTGTTGGTGCACTGATGCCTGTGTGTGCGTGTATTTGAGCATGTCTGTGTGGGGCTGCCGGCAGTCCGCTGCTCCTTAGTTACTCTGGCTTCTTGCTGCTGCTGTACGTCCTTCATCCTGTCTGCCTCTGACACCATGATTTTTTGTAATCACTTAGGCGAATACAAGAAGGACGAACTCCTGGAAGCTGCGAGGTGAGTACATGCCTTCTCAACCTTTCCTCCTCTCATTTCCCACTCTCCCATGATTCCGTTCTCTTCCTCCCTCCCTTGTACTGTTTCCATAGTCACTGTTTTTCTTTTTTTCTGTGCACATGGATGTGAATTAAGGCATGTGTTGGAGAAGGTGCTATCAGGGCTGGTGATGTCTGACTCAATAGATGTGTTTTCGTACGTGCATGTGATGGCCTGCAGGAGCCTGTTATCTGCACAGAGGACAGCCTGAAAGTTTCCATATAGCAGCATGCCATGGGCAGAAAACTATATTCCATGTGGTGAATTCGGTTTTCCGAGTGCTGCAGGTGAAACCAGAGGAAGAGGATGCGAAGGAGACACAGAACTTCACATCCTACCTGTTGTCCAATTTCACCAAACACCTGATTGTCACCATGGGACACATTGCCATGGAGAAACAACCCTGCCTCTGGAAACATCTGATGAGCCTGCAATCCCAGCAGTCACTGCCTTTGTCATAGAGAAAAGATGTTCCTTTTCATACTCTGGTCTACCTCTCCATTGGTTTTGCCCTCCTTTTTATACCCCTGCCTTCAGGCACAGCCCGCAGCATGGATACAAATCAGGACTCTTGTTGTTTTAATGATCAAGAGAGAAAGGAACTACAAAGGCCTTGTAATTCTCTCCACTGTTAGGAAGAAAGATCATTAGGAACACATACGGTCACGGGGGCTTCACTGTTGTGGAATTAAGTTGATCTCGGTCCCCCTCTCCTGAAGACAGAACGAGTAACCCTATGAATTGAGAATTGTTTGTAGAGACTTGCGGAATGGAAGATGGACGAAGCCGATAGACACACAAACAATTCGCTAGAAAGTCGGGTTTGACTTATGGCCTGCGCTCCTCTTAGTGGTAATCTCCTGAAGACCAGGATGCATCTTCAAACCCATCAAGAAGATTGATGACACCCTCCCTTTTCTCAGCCTCTCTTCCCAGTTGTAGTCTCCCAGCCAGTCCTATTTTACCATGTCGGCGGCAGTGTGTGCATTTAAATGAAGGATCTTGTGTTGTTCACTGAAGCCAGTTAACTGTAGTTACTGGCAAGTGGAGACCAGAGCAACTGGAGAGGAACAACCCTTACTGTTTTTGCAGGAAAAGAGGAAAAAGTCAACAAGTCTGTTTTTGCATACTTGCAAGAACCTGACAGTTTTCAAAGATGGAAAACTTGATGTTGACATGTTCCACTACATTGTTCGGCAGCTGATATGTCTCTTTGACATTGTTCACTTTTTGATTAACGTGGCATCAGGCCCATCTTTGGCCCCAGATGGCACAAGGTTTTGGCCGTAGCTGTTGCAGGCCTAGTATATCTAACACTGTCATACTTGGTCACGCTCGGGCTGCTGGCAAGACGTAAAGGAATCACTGGCAGGTGCTGATGAGCCAAACCTCTCCAGGCCACGGCTCACTCCAGTTACAGTGAAAACTTTATATAGGGTATCCGCAAGTGCTACTCCTAGGCATGTGATAAATGTATATTGAAGTTACAGTGTCAGTTACTTTATGTTCCTTGAAGCAAACCTCTGATAGATGCTGCTCATCTTATGTGCTCCTCCTCTTTTGACTATGGCTTTCATTCAACCATCTCTCCTTTTACACTTCACTCCTCATCTTTTCTGTGAAATTCACTGTGTTAGCTTGTGCTTTTTTTTTTTTACTGTTCCCTCTTGTTCTTTAAAAATCTGCTGCTTTGCTTCAGGAGCGGAAATGAAGAGAAGCTCATGGCCCTGCTCACGCCATTAAATGTCAACTGCCATGCCAGCGATGGTCGTAAGGTAAGAACATTCACTGCACCATAAACATTTGACCACTGTTGGTGAAAACTCCATAGAGCTGTTAATATTCTCCATCTGACAAACTTCCAAAATGGAGTCAAGGTAGATCCCATATTTAATTAATTTAATTAATTTAATAAATATCTCTCGGCAGAGTTAATGACCCTAGTCTCAGTCAGCTTCTGTCCAGGGTTATTATAGTTTTCAATTCTTTAATATAGTTGTATTTCGATTTTTATTTTCAATTTGTTTTGGTTTTTGTTAGTTTTCACTCATTGTTAGTTTTTCTTCTCCGGTGTCTTCTACTTTCAGTTTATTTTAGGCTTAGTCTATCTAGTCTAATGGCATTTTCATGTTTAATGTAAAGGGTTTATAGTATAGCATGTATCAAAAACTAATACCTAAAAATTGCTTTGTTCTGTGGTCAGTTTTGCAATCTTGAAAATGTGTTTGAATTCAGTTTTTCCCAGTTGTATTAGTATATATATTTCAGTTAACAAGAACATTTTATTTATGTTGACACTAACACAGCTTTTGTCCTGTTGGAAATTATTGTTCCAACCAAAATAGAATTGATTCAAGTCAGCTATTGAGACATTGCCTTAATTTGCATATTTAATTAAATATGGTGTCTACCAGGCTTCATTGTGAGAAATGCAGCATTGTTCACTTCACCTTGCATTCAGTTAGCTTATTTGCAGTTGAAAATAAGTTTAATATATTTCATCATCATCATTGGGTTTAAAGCTGAAGCTAAGGAGCATCACTCAGAATTTTTATTTAATTGCTTTATATTTAATCAAGTACATCACTCAAGTAATTTATGTGGAACTGCCATTTAATTAGACTAGTTTTTGCTGTCGTTGTTGCACATTAAATTCAGGGCTCAACATTTCACTTATCAGAGAGTTTTAGGTTCAGAGAAATATTGCTTGTATTGGGTTCCAAGATTAAAGCACACCCTCAGGTTTCTACTGCGGTTTACTTGCAGCAAGAGTACTAGCCTACACGTCACTCTTTGTGTTTAACATGAGCTTTAAGAGTTTTTTTTGTTTAGCTTTTTTTGATGATGCATATGGACTTAGAAATAGTAAGTGTGTTTTCAGATCGCATATATCTATTTTAAACAAGACTTGTGTGAATTTTGTCAGCAGCACATGTTAGATTGTGTACAATGACTTCTCCATCGATATTTATCACTGAGGACAAGATAGCAGCAGTGAAGGGTTGCAGAAGAGTCCTAATCTCTCAGTGAGATCAGGGGCTTGATTTAGAGGAATTACTCTCAGCCGGTTCTGCAAGTAGTCCTCATGCATATTTATCGAATATTGACTGATTTCCCAAGCGTGCTAACCAAAATGTTTTTTTTTTCCTTGCTTTGGTAAACATCTTGAGAATAGTCTGTCTGCAGACATGCCCTCTCAGCTCATATGCGCTGTGTCTGTGACTACTGGGGACTTGGGGCAAAAATGGCACTAAATTGGACAAAAATGCACCTGTACAAACAAATAAAATATATTACGTCTGTTGCTAACAAAGTGAAAATGAATGGACAGTGTCGATTGTGGCATTAAATTAAGATCTGATCATACTGCACCGCATTTCATTTTAGGCGTTTTTAAAGTGTTGCGCATTTTAACCATTCACACACAATTCTGTTGAGCTTAGGAATGCAATGTCCAATCAGAGGCGTTCAGTTGAGTCATCGCTGAAACTCATCAGATTTGTTGAGTGCATGCGCGTTCTCTGACTGAATTCCGGACTCTTGCGAATTCTCACATCATAAGATTTGAAGGGTTGTGGCTGAGAGTTGATAAACTGTTTAGCTTTAGGTAAAACGCCGCGCTTGTCACTGTCACTTTTTACCCAGCCGTCCAATCAGTGGACAAGAGGCGGGACAAATACTACACCGACCAATCATCCTACTTGTACAACAACTTAACAACAATAGAGAAGTTAACATTGCTGGTTACTGCATTTTTATATTTAGTAATATTCTTCAAAATGTACTGCTGTGGATATTCCACATCATAGCAACCAAATCGACAGCTGGAAAAATGCTGTGCCACCAAAGCATTCTCAAGCGCCACCAGCTGGTCGTTTTAAGAAGAGCGCCTGACATTTTTCAGCAGGCTAAAAACACTTTGGTGGACACACTTTATTGAATATTTATTGTTAGGCATATGGCCTATTAGTCTTTTTTGCATTTATGCAATATACTGGAGCCAAACCTGAGAAAGTAGACCAGAATATTCCACTGCGTTCCTGGACACGCAATTTGCGTAGCTGTAATTATAGGCGGGGATTATGGTAATTGTGAATGAGCGTGCACGAGCGCCCTGTTTACCGAATGATTGGAATTCATTAACATACACGTTTAACTATCAAATCGGACGTTTACGT